GTTAGGCAGCTTCACCAAAGGGACAACCAGCCAGCCACTTTGGTTCAATCCCAGGGATCGCACCTGCTGGACCCGAACCAAAACAGAACAATCCTATCGGCACCAAAAGAAACAGTAGCCCCTGACAGGGAAACAGAAAAGTGCGAGGCGGCATTGATTGGGGGGCAGGCTGGTTTGTGATGGCACATATATCATGGGGTAATCAGGAAATAGAGTAAACCAGCCTGTCCTCAACCAGGACTAAACTGCATGACAAACACCCATCTCATAGCTCCATCTAATGAACGAAGCCACCTATCTATATTCAGGGCAGTTGTGAGGACAAAATAGGACAAAAGAGAGCTTACTGGAAGAAACAATACATAAATTCAACTAATCATAAAAGAATTCTGTTTCTCTTTGCATTACCATGTCGGAACCACTCGACAAACTCTTCTCTGGATCTGGCTTGTTTTTGCAAATATTCAATCCTTGGACATTCACAAATACTTAGGCTGTTGGCGAGCAGGACGACGTCTTCATCTCCGGAGGCCTTTAAAAGGGAATTGGGGTGGGGGAGAGGTGAAGCAAATCTCAATATGGTGAATGCATATTGTCCCATAGGTTTCTCACCAGACGGTGGCTCCATGAGAATTTTATTTCAGGTATTTTTTTATATAGGAACATATCTAAAATCTGAAATGTCTTTGTATTTTAGGATGGAAAAAACTTGAGTGTTTAAAAATTTGAAGGCCGGAAAAACCAAAGAGGACCAACCTCCTCATTCAGGCCTACCGCTTTCAGGTCTTAGTGAGATTCTAAGTTTGGTTTTGAATCCATAAGTACACAACTCTATTGATGGTGAATTAGGGTTACCACCTTTTTTCCTTGATAAGCCCCTCATCTTGTACCACTCATGGGGTGGGAAGACGCTACATGACCCTCTATATACTTGAACGATCTGTACCTCCTGAATATACAGTGGGGTCTTGACTTGAGAACTTAATCCGTATTGGAAGGCGGTTCTCAAGGCAAAAAGTCTGTAAGTCAAGTCTCCATTGACCTACAGTGCATTGAAAACCGATTAATCCTGTAACAGGCCGTTTTTGTTCCATTTTGGTTTTTTTCTGGTCTGTAAGTCAAATCTCAGTCTGCAAGTCAAACCTAAATTTTGCGGCCAGAGAAGTCTGCGGGAAGACCCTCTACGTGCTTGAACGATCTGTACCTCCTGAATATAGCTCTTGCAAATGGAAAAGAATTTCACTCCCTTCTAGAATTATTACTATGGCGACTCCAGTTCCTAGCCCTGATAACTAAGCATGCTTCTGAAATTCCAAGAAGCATCACAATCTCTGTATCAAATTTCCTGGAGTTGCTAGGGCAAGATCTTACTTGCCTCTCTTTAATCATAATTGTGTTACAGAGGTCGGCATCTTTATTTACTCTGCATAATTTTAAAAAGGTCACAGAAATTCAGATTTTTCTTTACAAAAAAAAATCTGTTCTTTAAGAGCTTCATGGCTCAATGGTTCAACTGCAGTACTGCAGTGAAGACTCTTGTTTGTGACTTGCGTTGATCTCAACATATTCAGGGAGCTGGCTCAAGACTTACTCAGCTTTCTATCTTTCTGAGGTCGGTAAATTGAGTACCCAGGGGGAATGTATAGCCTGCATAATTTAATGGAACTGTAAATCACTCAGAGAGTTCTTTAAGCACTATAAGGTGGTATATAAGCAGCATAATTTGCTTTACTTTGTGTTGCATAGAAGTGTATTGCTTTTCTTTTCTCTTAGTCTAGAATGTTCACCTCCCTAGCAATTTGTGCCTTAGAAAACATAGCAGTTTTCTTAGGATTATGCCGCTTCCTTTGCTTGTTTTCAATAGAAGTGTATTGCTTTTCTTTTTTCTTAGTCTAGAATGTTCACCTCCCCAGCAATTTGTGCCTTAGAAAATATAGCAGTTTTCTTAGGATTATGCCGCTTCATAATGCAGGACTGCAAAACTTATATGCTCCTTTATTTTATTTATGTAACTTATTTAAAATATTTTTACCCGGCTTTTCTCTTTAGAAAAAAAAGGACCCAGGACAGCTGATATCAATAAAAGACAATATTTAAAACTAAAAATATTAAGCATATAAATACTAAAATGGTTCAAAGAAGTACCACACTAAAAAAACACTAAACAAAAGCAACACTAAAACATATGAAAAAGAGTAAAGCATAACTATGCATTTAAAAACTCCTCTCAGGCAGACAGTCATGGAGGGAAAGCCTGCCTGAAGAGAAAGGTTTTTGCCTGCTTGCAGAAAGACAGCAAAGACAGGGCCAAGCGGGCCTCCAGTGGGAGGGAGTTCCAGAGTCTAAAGGAGCAGCCGCAGAGAAGGCCCTTTCCTATGTCCCCACTAGGTACACCTGTAAAAGTGGCAAGGTCAAGAGATCATTGAGATAGCTTGGATCCAGACCATTTAGAATTCTATAGACTTGCCAATAAACATCCACCTATGGTAAATGGGTAACTGTATTGCGTTCACCTTGGTAGTGCTAGCTGCTTGCTACAGCCAAGAATGTTTTGTTTATTTCTTGCTTTTAATGCAGGATGCCTTCAATCACAAGATTCACTGCTTTATGCCAGTTGTCCTAGCTAAAACTGTAGATGGGGATGTTTCTAAGTATGGAGAGCGTAATTCAGACAAAACCACATAACATACAGTGGGAGAAAAAGATTTGAAGTAGAAAGAGTGCTGAAGGATTGATCCTCTCCCGTTGAACTTCAGATACCTTTTTTGTTTCTTGGAAGCCTTCCTCTAGGATTTGAATCAACTGTTTTTTCTTTAAGGACATTTCGGGTGGAGAGACATAGAAGAGATATTCTAGCATCTTTCTGTAGTTTCTGCAAAAAAGCGTGACAATCAAAAGAGATCAGTTCTAGCAGTGGGCACAAAAAGAGATTCCCTGACTCTTTTTGGATCACAGTTTGGAAAAAATTACTTTCTTGTAGCGGAACCCCTGGAAAACTCCAACCATCATGGACTGGCTAGAGCAGTGGTCCCCAACCTTGGGCCTCCAGATGTTCTTGGACTTCAACTCTCAGAAATCCTGGCCAGCAGAGGTGGTGGTGAAGGCTTCTGGGAGTTGTAGTCCAAGAACATCTGGAGGCCCAAGGTGGGGGACCACTGGGCTAGAGGGATTCAGAGAACTGTAGTGCAAAAAATGTAACTTGTGACCTGAGAAGGACATAGGCCACGGCATTCTCCTCTCCTGACTCCTGGCATCTGATAATCAAAAGAGACACTATTTCTGGAGCCAGTGGTTTCAAATTAGCTTTTATGGCTAGTAGATACAATTAAATGTACTGTATTTAATTCAGCCTTGTTATTTCTCCGAGCATCTCTCCTTTAGATCTTCTACCCAGCCTATCTGCTCTTGCCAGGATTCACTGTTGCAGGTAGCTGCCCCAAGGGAGGCTCAGAAAATGGTTACCAGGAGCAGGGCCTTCTCAGTGGTGGTGTCATTTTAGAACTCCATCAGTAGATACCGGTATATGGGAAGCTCCCTCCCATTGCTTCTTCTGGAAACATGTTAAAACCTTTCCTAAACATTCTCCTCCATGAGAGATTTCTCGACACACTATGTATAAATGTTCATTCGGATTAGCTGTCGCCTCTAGGGTTTTCCCGTCCTCATTATTATTTGCGCTTTCTCGATTTGATGGTAGTTTTGTGCTTTTAACTGTTGCAAACTGTCTGGAGTAGTAGACTGGCACTAGATGGGCGACATCTAAATGGGATGGATGGATGGATGGATGGATGGATGGATGGATGGATGGATGGATGGATGGATGGATGGATGGAAGGGATATGTTCGAAAATATGTACAATTATGTAAAAGCTCTCTGATAGTGCATGTGTGTGGAAGAGAACGTTCAAAATATTTATTTATTTATTTATTTATTTATTTATTTGATTGATTGATTGATTGATTGATTGATTGATTGATTGATTGATTGATTGATTGATTGATTGATTTCTGTCCCGCCCATCTAGACCAAAAGTCCACTCTTCATATATTCATTTCTTGGAATCTTTGAAAATGCTAATAATATTGTTAAATATTTGCAAACGTATTTGTATATTTTGATGAAGAAACTCAGCAAACTTCACCATATGCACTTCTGGAATCCAGTAAGTTATAGTTGTGATTCAATATATGAAAAGGTCATGCAGCTCTGAACATTGTTTTTATTACCATGCTTTGAGCAAGTTCATTTTCAAGCAGCAGACTGTGTGAGTCATTTAAAAAATACATTATATTTGAAATCAGTTTTTGCAGTGTCATTACCAGATGAAACCTCCCAATTTGAGGCATGTTAATTATAGACACATTTACTTTTATCTGTCTTTGAGATCTGATGGCTTGTAAAGATAGGGAATGTTTTGAAGGAGGTTATGCAATTTACCTTTAATTTGGGATAATATGAATAAGATGAGCCAATTCATATTTTAAAAGAAGTTCAAAGATCCTCCCAAACTATACTATCATTCTGATAGATAATAATTGCATAAATCTAAAGAGGAACATGTAAGATTCATAAGAAAGGACATTTACAAAATGACAAGGGAAAAGAAATGAAGATATGGCAATAAACTAAAGAAGGAAAAGGAAAAGCTATGTTCTGTAACTGGAATTTTGTCCATGAGTTTCTAACCTTTTGATTCCAATCAAAACTTGTTCAGTATTTGTCTGAGTATATTGCTCTTATTACAACAAGGACTGTGGGTGAGGAAAATATAGACCTTCTGATGCAATTTTACTGTACATACATTTGTTATGTATTAAATGTTTTGCCTAGAACATTTTATTACCACAAAGAGGTTTTACAATTTTTTTTCTACTCTGTTATAAAATGCTGTATAATTTTTTATATTGATCATGGAACAAAGGAAGGCTAATTGCCTTAGAGAAAGTACAAAAGAGTTGACAAGCAGATGTCCGAGCCAGTGGAGCCTAAAGGCAGCGCCCTGAGAGCTCCCTTTATTGACTTAGCATGAATTACATAGTATGTTGTGAGAATTCAGATAGGATACTAGTTACCTAATCATAACTAGGATTGGCTGAAAAGGCCACCGACTCCCAACTCGGAAGCGGGTGACTTGGAGCAGAAGAGTAGCAGGCCAGGCTTAGCCTTCTCTTGTTACTATTCTTTAGTAATCTTTTTGAATTTCATGGAAGCTCTACTCACTTACATGGACTCGTTTAAATCTTCCTTGTCCAAAAAGATCTGAAACTTCTCCTCAAATTTCTGCCTCAAAATCCGGTTGTGTATCCTGACGACGCGATTGACTTTCACCCCGGTGATGCCATAGGCTTTGAAGTCCCAGGCACAAAAGCGGGACAGCACTAACTCGTAGCAGGAATTAAACCTGTGGGAAAGAGGAGATCAAACCCTCCCTTGGCAAAGAAGTTATTTTTTAAAAGAGGGGAGGAGAGAAAAATGAACTGCAACATACAACAGCTATCCTTATTTTTAAAAAAAAAAAAAACCCAAACAGCAATGACCATGTGTTTTGGCGGAACATGGGGCATTTGGGGTGAGGTGGGGGGCACAGAAAAGGCCTGGGGGGCACCTCAAAACAGCTGTTACCAAGCATCACAGGGAGATCCCTCTTCGAAGCGCGTGTTCCCCACAGATTCCAGCTCGGTCAGCAAAAACTGTACAGCCAGGTTACTCTTTTTCTTCCTCTTCTTCACTTCTCCTTGATAAACGGCTTCCACTCTGCCAAAGAACCAGCAAAAGAAAAAGTCTCCACTGGAAAAAGCTGCAATTTAACACCCATTGGGAAGAACAGAAAAGGGCAGTCAGGGCAAGACATTCTGACTATCCAGAAAAGCCCATAGTGAATACTCAATCCCTTGCAAGAGCAAAGATTTCTATCCCCCCGAATCTTCCCTTATTTCGGAGCTGGTTGGGGGAATTCTGGGAGTTGTGGTCCAAAACAATGACTTTTCCAATGTCTGATTTCTGCTCAATTGTTCAATGGGAAGTAAATCTCCACTCGCCTTCTTAGGTCCTGGGCAATGAATACAAAAGGATACCCGAGACCTTTTGTTCTATATTTCTTACAAGCAGCTGTGTTTACATCTGGCTGAAGAAATTTTAGACAACGGTATCCAGAAATCAATTCCATTACGTTTAATCAGACTTACTCAGAAATAACTGAGTAAAGAAGGCATTACCGATTCAGTGAATTAATTGAATGGGCTCCAAGTGATTCATTCATCAGTTTAAGCAGTATAAATTTGTACAGGTAAGAGAGAATGAATGAAGAATTGGATCCCAGGAGCCAATATTCTAGAAGAGGAATTCGGGTCTCCCTGAGAAAGAGGAGGAGAAGTGTCTCTTCTAAGCCATATCTTGCCACCCAAGACTCTGAAAGTATAAACATTAAGGGCACTAACTTTTTTAAAAAAAATAACGCTACTCATGGCAAGAGGGACATCTTTCTTTTGATCAATCGACTGTAGATTGACTGAACATTACAGCTCTTATTTTTAAAAATCAGTCTGCAATGCCATTGAATAATCTTAAAGCTATGCATTTGTTAAAATAATATCTCCACTGAAAGCATCTACAGCCAATGCTCATCTGTTCATCAGCTACTATCCAGCTGCTCCCAGGTTAAAATAACAGATTTCCCTAGAATATCTGTGAATCTTGGAAGGAATAGCAGAGAATGCCAGGATTATACAGTGGTGCCTCGCAAGACGATTGCTTCGCATGATGACGAATTCGCTTTACGATGAGGTTTTCGGAGCGATCTTGCACTTCGTTTAACAATGTTTCCCATGGGCGATTTTCGCTTTATGATGTTAGGGACCTTGCCTCGTAAGACAGTTAAATTTTAGGTCCCTGTTTTTCGCTTTACGATGTTTTTGACAGTTTGGTCTTGCTTCACTATACAAGTCTTTTAATGGTCTCTGTTTCGTTAGACAGCTGTCTTCGCTTGGGAACCGTGTTTCGCTTAACGATGTTTCCTATGGTAATTTTTGCTTTACGATGACAATCCGTTCCCATTGGAACGGATTATCAGGTTTTCAATGCATTTCAATGGGAAAACGTGTTTCGCAAGATGTTTTCGCTTAACAGCGATTTTCGCGGAACGAATTAACATTGTATTGCGAGGCACCACTGTAATGTGGAAAGAATGAGCTACTTCTTTCTGAAAACGGATGCTCACAATGGGTTACTCACAAGTCACTTAAGAGGCTATAGGTTGGAGTTGGCAGGATCAGAGTGAACCTAAGAAAATAGGGTTTTCACACCCAGTCCTTTGTGAATACGAAAAACACAGAATTCTACACCTCTGTCAATGCACTCTGTGCCCCTCAATGTGTACCATGCAAGATCTGATTTTAGTTACCCCAAATGCTCTTGGTGTTGGTGAAAATTATCTGATATATTTATTAACTGAACGGTGGTGCTTCTGACACAAAGAAAGACAGACTATCATATGTGGACTTAAAAGGCTCTCAAAACACCTTCACCCAGCCACCTGCCCCAAAATGCATCCTGCTATGGGCACTCTGAATCCCCCAGTTTCTTCTAGAAAGATATAGCATTTTATATAAATATAGCAGGACATTCTGGCTGCTGCCTCCTCTGGTGGTAAGGGAAGACAGGGTAGACAACTGTCTACCAGCTGAAAGTTCACCATGCATCCTGCGCAGGCTAACAGAGTTCTTTCTTTGGACATTATGGCCATCTCTGGGTGCAAAAAAAAGGAACAGGGAACTCCCCGCCCACAGACGTACTCCTCTAATTTTTTGTTCCAGAAGTTTATTCTGCTTTGGAGGGCATCTAATTTATGCAGAAACTGCTGCTCCAGACTGTATTCTTCCAGAGTCTCATCCGGACTCTCCAGTTCCTCATCTGATTTTTCACCTTCAACATGTTGGCTGGAAAGGGTTTTGCTGCTTCGTTTTTTGCTGGAAGTCTGTAGTTCTGACAGTTCTCGTTCCAGCTGTTTGGAAAAAAAGATGGGGGGGGTTAGAAATCACCTTTCCGTTCAGCTGAAATATAACCACCCACCCACCCATATTCCATGGAAGCTACAAAAGGTTTTGCTTACATGCTTGATGTTGCAGCTGAAATGTTTGACACGATCTTCGGGAAGCTTCTGCAACTTGCACTTCCTCTCTTTCAGTTTCTCCAGCTCCTCGTTAAGCTGCCGGTGGGCGTCCTTGATGCGCATGTTGTAGTACATGACTTTTTTCATCACTGTAGTCTTCCAAAGATTTAAAGCAAACCAAAGGAGATACGCTAAGACAAGCCAGATTGTTATAAGACAAGCTGAAATCCTGTTGGTTCACCTAGGAAGTCACAACTAGAGTAGGCCTATTAAATCAGTGACGGTTTGGGGAGTCAGCTCCTCCATAAATTCCACTGATTCCAGTTACAGCTTATTGCACTAAGCAGCAGGATTTCAGCCATAATAATGTCAAGGTAGATCTCATCAGGCCCATAGCTTGGAAATGTTACATTTGGGAGGATTCATCATCATCATACTGTGCTCTTGTCAATTCTGATTTATGGTGATCCTTTTCAGGGTTTTCCGGATAGACTCAGAACCAGTTTACCCTTCCCTTCTTAAGGGGGCACCCTGGGACGGTGCAGCTTGCCCAAGGCTACACAGGCTGACTTTACTCACGGAGGCACGGGGGGGGGGAGGAACTGAACTCCCAATGTCTGTCTCCACAGCCAGATACCTAAACCACTGAGCTAGGCATCCAGCTTCCCTTGTAAATTAGGGATACAGTGGTGCCTCGCTTAGCGATCGCTCTGTTTAGCGACAAAATCGCTTAGCAATGCTGTTTTTGCGATCGCAAAAGCGATCGCTTTGCGATGGTCCCTATGGGTTTTTTCGCTTTGCGATGATCGCAGGGAAGCGATCATCGCAAAGCCCCCCATTTTCGCACAGCTGATCGGCGGTTTCAAAATGGCCGCTGGGAAAAAAACCATGGCCGCCTGCTGTGTTTAGGGACGAGTTCCTCGCTTTAGAGGCACCAAAAATGGTGGCGCTATGGAGGAGTTTTAAGCCCATAGGAACGCATTGAAGGGATTTCAATGCGTTTCTATGGGCTTTTTAATATCGCATAGCGACGTTTTCGTTCTGCAGCAACTTTTGCAGAACGAATTAACATCGTTAAGCGAGGCACCACTGTACAGAAATTCCCACTCCCAGGCCAGACGGGGCCTGCAACAGTTTCCCATCTGGCCTGTAAAAGTCTTATGCTACCTTCAGTGACCAATCAAAGATAAAGAGATTGCTGAACACCTATAAGCTGCTACATGGAACAGAACCCCAACCAACCTTCAGGTTTTAAAGTATTTGCCTCTTGCTGTTTTCAGGTTAAGCCAGGTAGAGGTGTAAATTGTAGTCTGGTGCTTTAGAAGAGCAAAGTAGCTTAAAGCCGGCGGATTCCAAGAATATCCTATTTGGAAAGCCCTAATTCAGTTCTTACCGCCAGTCATTCTCGTGCACACAGAGGGCTTTCAGTGGGAGTGAGAGCAATTGGTCCCCATCGTGAGGCCCTCCAGCCAATCTTTCCTGGTGCCAAACTTGCTTGGCCTCCCAATATGTTGTATAGATTAATGGAGGTCATTTTAGTTTTCAAACATCTTAAAACTGGGCATCGGATTTTAAAATTTTTAAAAAGTAAGGGTGCAATCAGGGAGTGGCAAAGGCGCCCACCGGATCACACCAGAAAGGGCTGCTTTGAAAGGAGCGATCGACCTTCAAGCAACTTGTCCATCTTTTGGGGAATTGCTCCAGACCAGACCAGAAAAGAAATAGCCCTGCAGCTGTATCAAAAAGGTCCGGTTTGTAAACAGATCAGGGTCAGGCTAGAGGGCATTTCACTGTGCATCATGGGATCACCGGGAAATAGACTGCACAGGACCCACAAGTGATCCCAATTACAATGTATTTTCTGCTGTGATCACACCCTAAGAGTGCTTGTTTATCCCATTCTCCCAAAATTAGGAACTTGCGCCATATAAGAAGAGGCATTCTCTCAAAAGCCTCTTTGTACATGACACCAAGGATAACCAAGGCATTTATAATGGAAAAAGAACTGCTTCTATTTTATATTGCATCAATTAAAGTTCGTACGACAAGGTCACAATAAGACCATACTAGTAGAAATATTGATTTTTATTCCATCCAAATTTTTTTTAAAAAAATTTCTTTGTTTACAAGTATTTAAACTGCACTGGCACACAGTATGGAATATAACAGTTGACTTCTTAACTAGCAGCAATCTACTGCTGCAATTTATGCTATTTAACTTAACACCTAGATTTAGATTAGGCATCCTTCAGTCTCGAGAGACTACAGTAACGTGCTCTGAATAGAGGACCTTTAACTTTAATTGTCAAGGTTTCCCATCTTTTGGAATCTGACCATCAGCCATTCTCACAACATGCCCAAGCCAACATAAACGTCGCTGTTTCAGTAATGTATACAGCTCGTTCTATGACTACTCTATTTGGAACTTTGTCCTGCCAGGTGATACAAAAAATACGTCGGAGGCAACGCATATGGAAGGTATTCAGCTTCCTCTCCTGTTGTGCACAAAGGGTCCAGGACTCGCTGCAGTACAGGAGTGTGCTCAGGACACAGGCTCTATAGACCTGGATCTTGGTCTATGCCGTCAGCTTCTTATTGAGCCATACTCTCTTTGTGAGTCTAGAGAACATGGTAGTTGCTTTGCCAACTTAACACCAGATTTATGTTAACTAATAGAAATCTGGCTGTTATGTGCATCAGCAGAAGAGAAGACTGCAGGGAGACATGATGGCAGTCTTCCAATATCGGAAGGGTTGCCACAGGGAAGAGGGCATCAATTTATTCTCCATGGCGCCTGAGGGTAGGACAAGAATCAATGGGTGGAAACTTGTCAGAGGGAGATCCAACCTGGAAATGAGGAGGAATTTCCTGACGGGAAGAACCATTAAGCAGGGGAACAGTTTGCCTGAGGACTGAGGGGAGACATGATGGCAGTCTTCCAATATCGGAAGGGTTGCCACAGGGAAGAGGGCATCAATTTATTCTCCATGGCGCCTGAGGGTAGGACAAGAATCAATGGGTGGAAACTTGTCAGAGGGAGATCCAACCTGGAAATGAGGAGGAATTTCCTGACGGGAAGAACCATTAAGCAGGGGAACAGTTTGCCTCTTGATATTGTAGGTGCTTCATTGCTGGAGGTTTTCAAGAAAAGGAGGGACAGCCATTTGTCCAGGAGTGTATGAGGTCGATATTGTGGGTGCCTCATTGCTGGAGGTTTTCAAGAAAAGGATGGACAGCCATTTGTCCAGGAGTGTATGAGGTCCAGGATGGTATGTGGTCTCCCGCCTTGCGCAGGAGGGTTGGACTAGAAGACCTCCAAGGTCCCTCCCAACCCTACGACAATTCTATGTTTCTATGGATAGACTGTACAGTATATTGGATTATATAGAGAATTCTTCTACATTCTATGTTTCTATGGATAGACTGTATATTGGATTATATAGAGAATTCTTCTATAAATAGGCATGTTGACAACAGGTGTGCAAAACCTAAAATTAGGGTGTGTTTCAAATCCATCAGGGTGCTACCATGCTGAAGTTCCTGCTTCAAATGTCTGTGGAGTGGATCTAAAAAGGATGGAGTAACAGTATGAGGGCCCCTCAAATTAACCTTAAGGATCTGCCTGGTAACCGGGTCCTAGGTTGGTCAGGGCTTTATAAAATTGTAACAAATCCTTGAACTTAGCTTCACAGTAAATAGCCAGCGAGTGCATTTCCTTCAGTAGAACCGTTAGGTGATGCTGGCAGATCATCCCCCCGGATGCCCAGCTCAACTCTAATTTAAAGTCTGCACTCACCTCTGCCAGGTCTTTGATCTGTTTGGAAGAGACATCATAAGTGTCAAGCCTTTGAAGCTGGGGGATATGATACAGGACGTGGGTTGCATAATTGCAAAGGAGACAGACTGGGTTGGGGTCGTACTGGGGATCATTCAGACACAGATCTACTAGATGAGGCAGCCTTGCCAAATTGGTGATCTCCTAGGAGTGGAAGAAAAGACAAACGATTTCACCTTTGTAACATCTAAAGACACTCTGGCCAAATGTGCAAGCTGGCAAGGCCAACGGCTGTGGGACCAATGCAGCCATTCCTCTCTGATGCATTTTTAGATTTAGACTAGGCATCCTTCAATCTCGAGAGACGATGGGAACGTGCTCTGAACAGAGGACTTGGAACAGCATCTAGTGTGGCTGAGAAGGCCAATTCGAGAGTGACCATCCCTTCCACACTGAAGACAAATACAATCTATCCCCTGCCCAGCTCCCTGGTTGTCCTGCTTTCGGGACTGCCTCTTTGCCTCGGCCTGCTGGACAAGGGTCTCTTCAAATTGGGAGAGGCCATGATGGACCGCCTGCCTCCAGGCTGAACGCTCAGATGTCAAAGTTTCCTATCTGTTGAGGTCCATTCCCAAGGCCTTCAGATCTCGCTTGCAGATCTCCTTGTATCGCAGCTGTGGTCTCCCTCTGGGGCGATTTCCCTGCACTAATTCTGCATACAGGAGATCTGATGCATACCCACTGGTAAATAATTTAGGTATGACTGCATGCCTGCCAATGGGATCAGTGATCTGCAAGGATGGAGGGAATGCTTCATCTTTGTCCTTCCACCTGTGGTTGTTCATCCTCTGGGTCTTGGCCTCTGTGTCCGTAAATGGCCAAAATCCTCCCGGTATTCATGTGAAGTCTGTGTGACTTGGGGCAGCTAATTGCAGCTAATTAATTAGATGCCAAGGCACATCTCCGTTGTGTGCTTGGTCACACACCATACTGTGCAACAAAGGTGTGCCCTGGCATGCTGGTAATTATCCTGGCCATCTCTGCAAACCTTATATAAACCCCCAAAACTTTCTGGCCAATAAGAAATGGCAAAGGTACATTTGTGGACTACAACTTGCAGAATTCTAGAAATCAGTTTTTGGGGGTGCAATGTTGTCCCAAAAATTAACTTTGCCTCCATCTGATAAATGGCCGTACACGGGATGGCGAGGACAAAAAGGATTGATTCCTTACCTTGAAGGAGCATATTCTGTTTCCTGATAGGTTTAATTTTTCTATTTTTCCATTGGGATCAAAACTATTTCCTATAACACAAGAAGAATAATGAATATAATGTGCAACCATGTGTGTATTCACATACTTGTTCCTCTGCAATTTCACGAGGTCTATAACACTGTACCAAGAGGGCTGCTCCTGATCCAACGGAGACATACCTATGAATAAGTATGCGAATGTGGATGAAATCTAATGATTGGCTTGTGGATCTTTAATGCAAAAGACCATAGGTGCTGTTGATCCCTTCACCTGCCTCCTCAGCCAATCCAG